GGGTTTGAACCACCAGCCTTCTGGTTAGCAGTCAAGTGCCTTAGGCAGTATGCTACCAGGGACTCTTCTATACACACACACACACACACACATACACATACACATACACACATACTCACTCGCTGCCGTCAAGTTGAATCCGATTCATAGCGACTCCTCCTTGGGTTTCCGAGATGCTATCACTATGGAAGTAGATTGCCCAACCTTCCTTCTGAGGAGTGACTGGTGGCTTTGAACCACTAGCTGTCTGATAGCAGTCAAATGCCTTAGGCACTATGCCTCCAGAGCTCCGACATACATACATACATGCATTCATGCATGCACACATACATATATGTATACACACATATACACAGATATACATATATACACACATATATATACAACATATGTGTTGTTGTTGTTGTTCTGTGCCGTCAAGTCGGACCCGACTCATAGCAACCCCTCCTTGGGTTTCCGAGGCAGTATCACTACAGAAGTAGATTGCCCCATCTTCCTTCTGAGGAGTGGCTGATGGCACTACGCTGCCAGAACAACATATGTGTACATAATGTTTTTTGTGAAGATATATACACTCTACTAACCAGGAGGTTGGCACTTCAAACCTACCAGCCACTCCATGGAAGAAGACTGGGCAATCTACTTCCATAAAGATTTACCACCTCAGAAACCCAGTAGAGGTCGCTATGAGTCAGAATTGACTCGATGGCAATGAGTTTGGTTTTTATATATACATAGACATATAGACATATATAAGGAGCTCTGGTGGCATGTTGCCTAAGGCATCTGACTGCTAACCAGAAGGCTGGTGGTTCAAACCCACCAGCCACTCCTCGGAAAGAAGATTGGGCAATCTACTTCCACAGTGATACTACCTCGGAAACCCAAGGATGGGTCACTATGAATCAGATCCAACTCCACGGCAGTGAGTTATAGACATATATATACACATACACATATATATATCCACATATATAATATGGTTTTGTGGAGATATACATACATACATACAGGACCTCTGGTAGTATAGTGCCTAAGGCATTTGACTGCTAACCAGGAGATTTGTGGTTCAAACCCACCAGCTGCTCTGTGGAAGGCAGACTACAATGTACTTCCATAAAGATTTACACCTCAGAAACTCAAAGGAGTCGCTATGAGTCAGAATCAATGCAATAGTAGTGGGTTTGGGTTTTTTGTTTTTTGTTTTTGGCTCCATATATAAAAACTCACTGCTGTTGAATTGGATCCGACTCATAGCAACCCCTCCTTGGGTTTCCAAGGAGGTATCTCCATGGAAGTAGATTGCCCAATCTTCCTTCCAAGGAGTAGCTGGTAGGTTTAAACTACCAGCTTTCTGGTTATCAGTCAAATGCCTTAGGCACTATGCTACCAGACCTCCTGGTTCCATATATATCCATGTTGTTGTTGTTGTTGTTGTGTGCCGTCAAGTCAGACCCGATTCATAGAGACCCCTCCTTGGGTTTCCGAGGCAGTATCACTACAGAAGTAGATTGCTCCATCTTCCTTCCGAGGAGTGGCTGGTGGGTTTGAACCACCAGCCTTCTGGTTAGCAGTCAAGTGCCTTGGGCACTATGCTACCAGAACTCCCATATATATACATATATATATATTTATAGTACTAAACTCACTGCCATCGCATCAGTTCTGACTCATGCAACCCTCTTTGGGTTGCCGAGGCGGTAAATCTTTACACAAGTACATTGCCCAGTCTTCCTTCCGCAGAATGGCTGGTGAGTTTGAACTGCCAACCTCCTGGTTAGCAGTCAAATGCCTTAGGCACTACGCCACCAAAAAAAAAAACTAATTGCCCTCGAGTCAGATCCGACTCATAGTGCCCCCCTGCTTGGGTTTCCGAGGCAGTATCACTCCAGAAGTAGATTTCCCAATCTTCCTTCCTAGGAGTGGCTGGTGGGTTTGAACCACCAGGCTTCTGGTTAGCAGTCAGATGCCTTAGGCACTACACCACCAGAGCTCCATACACACACACACACACACGCGCGTGCGTGCGTGTGTGTGTGTGTGTGTACTTTGCCCTAGGTTTCTGTTAGAGGACAGGAAGAGAATGAAATGGGGATACAACTCCATCCCCCAACTCCCATCTTGAACAGAGCTGTCTGTGTTCCAGATCCTTCGAGAGATGTCAGCGTTTGACGTCATCTACACAGCCATTGTCATCTCACATTCTGGGCGCATGATGTTTGTGGGCACCTCAATGGGAACCATTCGTGCAATGAAGTACCCTCTGCCTTTGCAGAAAGAATTCAATGAGTACCAGGCACATGCTGCTCCTATCACCAAGGTGAGAGGGCGCCATCTCCTCAGGGGCCCAGTCTCAAAACTAACTTTGATAGATCCATTTGCTCCTGCCCTCCACATACTTTCTTTATCCCTTCAGCCTCCCAACATCTCTTCTCTACTTATTCCTTTTCTCTCTGTATTTATTCATCAAGCCAGCCATTCAATGAACATTTATGGCTATTTAATACCCTTAAACTGCCTTAAGGACCACTAGTTAAGCATTCAGCTATTAACCAAAAGATTGGTGGTTTGAACCCACTGGCCACTCCATGGGAGAAAAGATATGGTGATATGTGCCTATAAAGATTTCAACCTAGGAAACCCTATGGGGCAGTTCTATTCTGTCTTATACGGTCATGTGAATCAGAATCAACTTGATGCCAGTGGATATGATTTTTGGTTACAGGTGCTCCACCCCACCCGAATCCCCTTTACCTTGTCACTGCACCCATCCCCAACTGCTGTGAGTATTGGCTCTGATAGCACATAGCTCTTTTTTCCCAGAGAATTGGCCTGGACCACAGGGAAGCACATAAAACGTCCTGGTGGTGTGGTGGTTAAATGCTCAACTGTTAACCTAAAGAATGGCCAGCTTAGAACCCACCAGCCCCTCCACAGGAGACAGAACCTGGCTATCAGTTCCAGTAAAGATTGCAACCTAGAAAACCCTATGGGACAGTTCTTTATCCTATAGGATCACTACACACAACAGTAACAACAAAGGGAGTCACAGCCAGAAAGATTAGCCCCTGCCCCGCCCTCAGGTCACCCCAGGGGTAATAACTTGAGCACACATTTGTAAATTGCCCTCCTATTCCCCACTGGGGAGCTCTGGTAGCATAGCAGCTAAGACACTTACCTACTAACCAGATGGCTGGTGGTTCAAACCCACCAGCCACTCCTTGGAATGGAGGTTGGGCAATCCTACTTCCGTAGTGATACTGCCTCGGAAACCCAAGGAGGGGTCGCTATGAGTCGAGTTTGACTCGACTGCACATAACAATAACAACAAATTCCCCACTGTAAAAAGTAGTCTGTATATGTGGAACTCCTAACCAACGGGCATTGGGAAAATGGGTGCCTCCTTTCCTCTCCTCCCCTCTCCTTCTCTTCTTCCTTATTAAACAACGCCAAACTCTGTATTGGCTTACCTGCAGACACTGCTGCTATATAGAAAGAAGTTTTCATTATAAATCAGGACATTCCTGTGCTGAGTCCAAAGTAAGTTACTCTAACATATTCCTCCCTTTTAGGGAAAAGGGATTTTATATAAATGAAATCATATAGTATGTGATCTTTTGAGACTGACCTTTTCCACTCAGCATAATGCCCTTAAGTATCAATAATTTATTCCCTTTTGTGTTTTGTGTATCAGTAGTTTATTCTCTTTTACTGTTGAGTAATAGTCCATGAAGGAGCCCTGATAGCACAACGGTTAAGTGCTTGGCTGGCAACTGCATGGTCAGCAGTTCGAATTCACTAGTGGCTCCGTGAAATAAAAGACCTAGTGATCTGTTCCTGTAAACACTACAGCCTAGGAAGCCCTACAAGGTAGTTCTATTTTGTCCTATAGGGTCACTGAGAGTCAGATTCAACTTATTAGCACAACAGTAGTCTATGGTATGGATATTCCACAGTTTATTTAACTATTCACCTATGGCAGGACATTTTTACTTTTTCCACTTATTTTACTATTTCAGATAAAGCTGCTGTGAACAACACCATACAGGTTTTTGTGTGAGCATAATTTCTCATTTCTCTGGGATAAATGCCCAAGAGTGCTATTGCTGGATCATATGATAAATGTATGTTTAGTTTTTAAAGAAATTGCCAAGCTGTTTCCCAGAGTAGCTGTACCATTTTACATTCCCACCAACAATGTATGAGAGAAGCTATTTTCTCCACATCTTTGCATTTGGTATTGCCACTGTTTTTTATTTTAGCTATTCTAGTAGGTGTGTAGGGAGCTCTGGTGGAGTAGTGCCTAAGGTATTTGACTGCTGACCAGAAGGCTGGTGGTTTAAACCCACCAGCCACTTCTTAGAAGGAAGACTGGGCAATCTACTTCTGTAAAGATTTACCACCTCGGAAACCCAAGGAGGGGTTGCTGTGAGTCAAATTGACCCAATGGCAGTGTGTTTGGTTTTTTCTTTTTTTTGGTTAATAGGTATATAGGAGCTTCTGGGTGGTGTAAACCATTAGTACATTCAGCTGCTAATCAAAAGCTTTTAGGTTTGAGTCCACCCAGAGGCACCACCGAAGAAAGGCCTAGAGATCTATTTCTAAAAAATCAGCCATTGACACACAGGGTCACTGTGAGTGAGAACTGACTCACTGACAAGTGGATATATATAAAGTTAGAGAGAGAGAAGGAGATAAAGATAGATATATTTTTCACCCTTAAGAAACCAAGTCCACGGAGAATATAGACATAGCCTTGATTTTTTATTCATTCTTACCGTCTCATTCTTACCCGGGCTCCAGTCTTCCTTCCTGTGAGGTTTTGTCTGGGCTTCTAAGGAACAAGGCTTTACACAATAGATGGCTCATCCTGATCATCCATGGCCTCAAAAAGTTCCTTGTCCCTCATCTGTTTCTCCTCAGATGTTGATCACCTTTGATGACCAATACCTGCTGACTGCTGCTGAGGATGGCTGCCTATTCACCTGGAAAGTCTTTGATAAGGATGGGCGGGGAATCAAGCGAGAGAGGGAAGTGGGCTTTGCCGAAGAGGTGCTTGTTACCAAAACAGACATGGAAGAAAAGGTAAGAATCAGATCTAGTGGAGAGGGGCATGAAAAGGCCTTCCTTCACAGACCAGCGTCCAAGGCCTAGCACAGATTCCCACGACTCTGGCCACATCTCCGTGCTGTCTTCCTCGCAGCTGCTGGATTCTGCTTCCACCCACCTCACCTCTCATCCTGCCCCAAGATCATATTGACCTGCTGTGCTCTAGCTTTATCACATAATCTAGCTTTCCTTTTCCACTCATTATGGGCAGGAACCATGACAAGCAATTCTCTGGTATGACCAGCAGTTTCTAGTACATGCTAGGCACATGGAAGACAGTTGATAAATAGTTGTGAAATTAAGCTGAAAATGAATATCCCACTTGTATCTGTGAGATTTAAGAACTTAGTATATAGAATCTTCTTTTAAAAAATAATTATCTGGAAAATATTCCTGAAAGTCCTTACCAAGTCCTCTTAATAACTAACATGGTTTTAGGTGTGCCATGAACCAGACATTTTGCTAATTACTTTGTAAGTATTCTCTTATTTAAATCTTACATGTTAAATATTTCATGTTTCAAGAAACAGGTTCAGAGAGCTCATAACTAATACTTCACTGAACTTGTAACTAATAGGCTAGAGTTCTAATCTAGATTTGATTTCGAACCCACTCACTTTTTTAATCACAACACCTGAGAGCCTTTATGATGGTAATTCCATAAAGATGTGTTTTGCAGAGATTTGAGTACATAGCTTTGTGCTGTGTTCTATGGGAGAAAACAGGATGGATGATAAACTCAAAAGGCTTCCAGAGGATTGCAGAGCTATGTACACATTATTGTTCAGCCACAATCTAACAACATTTATAGAATACCTACTGTTTGCTAGGTACCAGGAATACAAGTATGAAAAAACAGGCATGGGCCCTGTGATCAGTGGGTGTAGAGACGAGTAAAACCATCAGAACACCAATGCAAAAATTGCCACAAAGCTTAACAGTAGGCCTTTGGCATTTCCTGAGATCCCTTCTTGAAATCCCTGGAAGTAACTGCAGGAAAGGTGAAGGGGAGAAGAGGATGAGGGAGAGCTTGTGAGAGTAGGGGTCTGACCTACAGCAGGCAAACAAATACCTCCTACTCTTCCTCCTCCTCTCTCTCTTCTTCTTTCTTATTCCCAGAGATTATCTATTTCATGCTGACCATGTTCCTGGCACTGTACTAGGTTCTGGGGATAAAGCAGTAAGCTAAGATGAGCAAAGTGCAACCCTTAGGGAGCAGAAGATCTAGCCAGGGAGAAAATCTTCATCCATGGTTTTTGTACCAACCAGTCACTAAGTTCTTTTGACCCCACCTCTAAAATGTCTCTCAAATATTTTCATTCCTCTCTGCTCCACTCCCTCACTTAGTTCAAGCCCTTAATATCGCCAACCTGAACTGTACAATAGCCCCAACTACTCCCCCTGTCTTCAGTCCTTCTGTGTTCCAGTCCAAGCTGCACACTGCCATTGGAGAGGTCTTTACAAGTCCAAAGTCACCTTAATCCTATTAGATGAAAGCCCCCTACAGTAAAATTCAGATTTCTCAGTATGGCCACAAAGGCCTTTATGGCATGGCCCAGTCTTGGCCTCCTCACCCTCAGCCTTGCTCCTCTGCCAGTTCACATGCAGTGCCTGATGGGACCGCTCTTGCCTCCCTGCCTTTGTGCATGACTCCTTATTCTTGAGTCATTCCCGGTGCAGCATGGGAGACAGACCAGAAAAGACAAGGTAGGCATACATGGAGTATAGTCATAGGTGAGCTAAAAAGAAAACATCTTGTGTTCTCTCCCACACTGTCACCAACATTACTTTTTTAGAAAATGAGGAGTGTGTGTATTAGAGTATTTTTAGAAAACTTTGGTATCAGTGAGTACAATAGGTTTGAGGAAGAAGATGCTAGAGATAGGAGTTAGCAAAACAGGAAGAGTTAGGACCTAAATTAAAGTTAAAATAGGACAGGATGGGCATAAAAGACATCAAGAGGTGACAAATTGACAATACTGGGACCACCCAGCTTTGCACAGTTAAACGATTTGTAATTATATGATTATTTGGCTGCTCCAGTAGGCTCCAAGTTCCATGGGGGCAGGAATCATGAGTCAGCAAATATTTCTGAGTACTTATTATGTGTTGGGCACTCTTCTAGGCACTAGGGATACATCAGCAAACAAAACCTCCAAAGATCTCAGCTTTCTTAGAGCTTTAGGTTCTAATAGGGAAAGAAGACAGATGGCAATAAAGAAAACAATAAGTTACATAGTATATTAGAAAGTGTCACGATCTAAAGACCTAAGATCTAAGGAACTAATAAAAGTAGAGCAGAGTAGGAGGGCCATGAGTGCTGGGGTGGGAAAGGGAAGGCAACAGGATTTAGTAGTGTAGTCCAAGTAGGCCTCATTGAGAAGATAACATTCAAGCAGATTTGAAGGAGATAAGGGAGCTAATTAGCACAATGCCTAGCACACAGTAGGGCTCACAATAGTTATCATTAGAGTAGAGGAAAAATTCTTATCTCTACTAGGTTTTAGCCCATATGACTCATATGGAAAAGATGACAAGTTCTAGTTGAGACATGTTGAATTTGAGGCTAGGCTAAGCTGCAGATCTCAGGTCAAAGCCCCAAAGTTTGAATATTCCAGTTCACTCACACTGCAATTGTTCTTGATTCTGTATCCTTCTCCCAAAGGCTCAGATTATGTTAGAGCTGAAGACTCGTGTGGAAGAATTAAAAATGGAGAATGAGTATCAACTTCGACTAAAGGATATGAACTATTCTGAGAAGATTAAGGAGCTAACCGACAAGTTCATCCAGGAAATGGAGTCCTTGAAAACAAAAAACCAGGTCTGTTTGAGAGACTGAACCAACAACCACAAAGAACCACAAATGTCCAAGATGAGAGTAGTGTACATTTCCCAAGCTACAAGCTAATAATAGGATATATGAGAATGTAATATTTTAAGGCAGCTGGAAGTATCAGAAATGCTTTTAAGAGCAAAGTGAACAAAAGCAAACTCTCAAACTCTTATGGTGTATGATACTAATTAGGTAAAATTAAAATACATAGAATAGTTTTTCAGAACACAGCTAGAACTTCTCTGGAAGTTGAGATTATGAATAATTTAAATTTTATTCTTTATAGTTTTCCATAATTTCCAAATTCCCTACAATGACAGGAGAGACTT